AACCCAAATTAACGAAGCGGTGACGGAGGCGGTATTGACGGTAATCTTCCCTTTCTCGTTCCCGCGCGCCTGTTCGCTCGGTTTCCTGCTCGGCGCTTGCTGGGGCTGACAAGGGCTCCGCGCGCCGCGCCGCCTCGAAGGCGAAAGGTTACGGTGCGGCAAGGTGCGGTGGGTTTTTTTCTTTCTTTTTTGGGCAAGAATTTCTTGCAAATGCATTTTTTTGCAAAGGCTGGGAAGGGAGCGGGGGGAAGGCGACGGCGAGGCCGGCGTCTCACGGGAGACGCGAGCTGCCGGCTTGGGCTTGGGGGGGTCTCTTCTGCGGGAGGGGGAAAGGGAGGCTTTTGCCTTTCCGGGGCGGATTAGGGGTTCGTTTAGGTTATTTGGCTCTGCAAGGCAAGGAGCCACCGGAAGGAAAAGGAGATTTTATTTTTTTTCTTTCTTTAAGCCCCGAAACCGCTGTACAAAATTCCCCTGGTTTTGTTGGGCGTCCAGATTCCTCCGCTGGAACGCTCAAAATCCAGTTACGCTCCGAAAAGAGGTTGCAGTGATTTGGGGGTCCCCCTCCCTCTATTATGAAACAGTGTCAAAAGTGGAGGTTTTACGATCGCCTCTCCTCGTTTTGATTCCTTTTGCCGCTTGTCCAGGCTTTTGTATTTATTTAAAAAAAAAAAAAAGAGGCACAAAGCAGCAGTCCTGCAGCACAGTGATTATTTGGGGGGAGGACACCCAGAAAATGGACAAATACCTGTGTTTTAAAGAGAAGAGTGTTTTATCCTTCGTTGCTGTTGTTCACCTGTCGCCTGCAAATACAGCATTAAAAATATCTGGCAAGGGGCGCAGTTTAAAGCTGGCGGCATCCTCTCACGGCCTTCGCTGCGCCGCTGCTCGTCCTTGCAAATTCGGCGCGCGTCCCTCCGTCCTGAGCCTGAAGCAGCCATATATTTGTGTCCTTATTTAAAGGCATTTGTATAGATTTTTTTTCCTAAAATCAGCTTCGCTGGCTTTTGCTAAAGGTTACTTTGGGGTTTGGGTTTTTTTTTTTCAAAGTGGAACAAAGCGATGGGTTTGGCCCTCCCCGGTCTGCAGAAAAGGTCGTCGGGATT